ACACTTACCAAGGCTGGGCAGCTTTCCTTTGCCATTCTGAAATCTGAAGGGGGATAAGAATTGCAAATCCAGAGAACAGCACTCTCCCTCTCTCTCCCCAAATAGCTTTATAATATTACTATGCATTTTAAAGAAATCACTGAAATCTTATCTCATTAAAAGCCAGAAAAACCCTTAATTTTACAACTCTAAACACACTGCCTTGATATCAGATATACTGGTGGCAGAGGTAGAAAGACAGCAATTCAAACTCTTAGGAATCCGACCAAACCTGAACCCAAATTCTTCTCAGCCCCTTCCCTCTATCAATCCCTACCATCTTGGGCGGCATGCTTGGTAGCTCCCTGCTTTTTTGATTCCATTACTCATTATCTAACTTATTCTGTTATCCCAACTTGGCCAGTGTTGGGACTGTGTGGGACAGCGACCCTAACCCAAATTAAACTCAGAGACTTCTCAAGGTGGAAAGCAAAGGTTACCTTTATTACAATCTCGCAAGATGGCTGTCTGCTCCTTCAATACATGTGGAGAGAGAGAGACTGCATAACAGGGGCCCCTTATAAAAGCAAATCTCTGCCCACCATGCAAAGTCTTCACCCACTATGCAAACAAGTTTCCACCCACCACTATCCCTTACCCCCTTAACTGGGGATGGGCTTACATTCTAAGCTCTAAAGCTTCTTCCTATCCCCTTAACTGGGAGGTGGGGCTTATATTCCAGGCCCAAAATTCAAAGACAGGGAAAGAGGTGGGAAGCCAAGGGCAAATGGCTCAGGTTGGGGGTGGGGCAGGGCTTATTCTTTCTGTTAAGTGCTTAAAAACAGGGTCTGAGTGGGGGAGGATTTTGAAAATAATAATCACAAATTATTGACCTTTTGAGGAGGCTTCATCTCTGAGAGTTCATCTCTCACAGGACCACCCCCCAAAAAAATCTTATTAATCTCCCACTGAAAGTCTAAAGTGGGAGTTCTTTTCCACTGTTTCTTCTCTAATTTCAGACTTAAAATTTTTTCTGGCAGACATAAAACATTTACATAAAGACAGACAGAAAACGTGTGCACGATTCTAATTCTAATCTTGACTGGTCTTTCCTTCCAGCAAGAAGCAGAGTCTGATTCCCCCAGGCTAACAGCTCTCCTTCCCCTTCCTCAATGCCTTTTCCTTTGAGCTCCTTCCTCCCATTTCTAGACCATTCTCTAAAAAGCCCCATCTGGGCTACCTCAAGTTGTCAGAAATGAGGATTCTGTGGACCAAGGCAGGTACTCTAGCACAATTTTTCTGCTTTGATCAACAGGTCTACTTTACATGGTCTACAGCCAGTTCTTCCCTTTTTCCTTAAATCTGTTCAAACACTCCATTTGGCAAATACCGAGTCTCAGGTCTCATATGCAGCCTGGGTGAGCCAGAGAGAAAAGCAGAGGACCACCAAAAATTGGTGGGAGCCCTCTTCCTCCATTTACCCCTCAAATAACCACTCCGGGGGCCTTAAGAATATTCTGGACAATTCGCCACGTTTGTCATAAAAACCCCAGACTTAATTCAGAATTCAGCCTGAGACTGGGCTCGGCGAATTTCCAAACAAGAGTTGGCTGGGTAATAATGAAATCACAGTTGTGGAGTGAGAGAAGAGATGCCTTTTTCATCAATTCTCATGAGAATTAGGTGTGTATGCGCCCTCAAGGGAACCACACACTTATACAGGAGCACAGCAAGCGGTTTTATAGGATTACTTGGCTTTAACTAAAGCCCAACTTGTCCCAACATTCCTGCATGTCCCAAGTAATATCTGTGTTTGCAATGCAATATCTATTGTTTCTATAGAGCCTGTGAAAACCAATCTCTCACTCATCTTGTTTACATGTTTGTGTAAAGCAGTAAACCAATAAACCAATCTCCCTCATTTCTCACACTGTTCAATTAATTATTGGAACTCTAGAGGCTTTCTGCCGGGGGGGGGGGGGGGGGGGGGGGGGGGGGGGGGGGGGGGGGGACGGGGACTGACTACTCCAGGTTAATGTTGATTCAAATTGCTGAAGCCTGAGATTCCCAGAAGGGCAGTTTTTTATCTGATAAACTTCTAAAAGGAGAATGGATTTTTTTGCTCTTTTAAAGAAGTAGGAAAGAAACGGGGAGAAAATTATTCAGGGTAGTAATTGTCACCACGTGTCTTTTTAAAGGAATATATGAATTTGTGGAGAAGATTTCCTTTTAAAGGGCTGAGACTTTGGATTTAAAGCAAAAATGTTTTTAAATGTTTATCATTAACGATCACAAATTCAGGTCTGATTTGATTTAAGTTTACTGTTCTGTAAAGGGAAAAAAAACAGTTGTTTTGGGATAGAAAATGATATGACTGTAAAGTGCTTAATACAATGGCATATGTTAGACATAGCATTATTATTTCTCTAATTCAATGTAACTGTTAAAAGTACCAAGAGTAATAAGATCAATAATTTGTATATGTGATAATCTGGAAATGCAATTGATGTTATCTGAAGTTTATTGTTTGTGTTATTACTCTATTTCTAAATTGTATTGTATTTCTAAAACTCTTAGATTATAATATTTGAGGGACCACTGTGAGGTAGAAATGGTGCTAAAGCAGTTCTTAATCGGGAATGGGTCTTTTGAAAGGATATCATACAAATGAGATACTTTGAAAACTTGGTTATATTTGGTTATAAGCAAGTAATAATAATATTGGTATTTACTATGGTAGCAGATTTTCATTTGAAATCTTGACTATTATAAAAATATGTGATGGTTTAAAGTTATAGTTTCAATATTAATTATGAGATGAATGATTTTCTGTGCAAAGTGATTTGGAAATGCATTCATCTAAATTGACAATGGGTTATTTCAAAGTTTATTACTATTGTGGAAATATAATGTGTGCCCTGTGGTACAAACCTATTGTGAACAACTTACTGATATGCGCTGTTCTGGAATTAATTAGGCATCCTCCCATATATCAGAGCCTCAATTAGGAAAAAAACTGTGTGTGAATTTATGGATAATAATCCTTTCCTTTAAAGTACTAAGAGTATTAGGCCTTAGAAATTAAAATGTACTGTTGAGGTTTGGAGGTTGGGGATAGTGGGACCCACAATTGCAACTCGTGGGTCCTGCCCAGAAAAAAAAATTGACCCAGGCCTTCTTTCGGCCTATGACAGCTTGTTCCATGTAAGCCAGGCTCTTGAAGAGTCTGAATATTTGTGATGCTCATAAGGATGAGCGGGTATGGGGAAGTCTCGGCTATGAGGGGGATCTGGGAGTGGCCAGGTGTCTTGATGGGAGTGTCTGTGAGGTTTGAATGGGTCTAAATAAGATCAGGGATGGAAAGTATGGCCTGGGGAAACTGCTAGACCAGGTGGAGTGGTTCAGGGAGAAAGGGTTTGTTTTGGGGGGCCAAGCTTGGGCCCATACCCCATCATTGCCATTAATGATTATGAATCCAGATTTGATTTAGTCAATCCAACTAAATTAACGTCATCTGACAGTAATTAATTGGTTCTGTTTCAAGTTTTAAATATATGATAGGTGCTTATGGTATGGTTGTATTTCTGAATTTTCTTATATGGTGTAATCTGGTAAACAACTGTATCAGCTATGTTGTTACAAAAGCAATTTGTCTTATAATCTAGAATGTTGACTAGATTAAGAATTATACTATCACAGAAAGAAAAAAAAAGGAATGGGTTGGGAAGCTGTTAGGTTATTCTATCTGACCCTGTGTTGCAATATTTTTTTTAAGTACTATAATTTGGGAAGCAAGAAGTTTTGTCTATATTTAAAGGGAAGTTTTAGCTGGGATTATTTGGTTCTCATTTATGAAATTTAAGATTGTTAACTAAGCTATTGGGAGTTATTGGTTTTGTTTGTTTTTTTAGTGAGGCAATTGGGGTTAAGTGACTTGCCCAGAGTCACAGGGCTAAGAAGTGTTATGTGCCTAAGGCTGTTTGAACTTAAGTCCTTCTGATTCCAGGGCCGGTGCTGTATCCTCTGTGCCACTTAGCTGCCTCCTGGAGTTCTTGTTTAAATTAAGCACTTATAAAAGTATTTGTGTGTGTGTGTGTGTGTGTGTGTGTGTGTGTGTGTGTGTGTGTGTGTGTGTGTGTGTGTGTGTGTGTGTGTGTGTGAAAGGAAACCTGGTAATTATGCAAAGAAGAGACTTTGTAAAATCTTGTAATCGTTATCAACCCTGTGCAGGAGTCTTGTGTTGTGGAATTGTGGAATTCTTACTGAGTAAATGGCCCATTATAGACTAGAGAATTTTTGACTAGATAATTTAGGTTAACTAGCAATTTTGTGGTAATTAGGAAATTGTAAGCTGTTTTTAAGAAAGGAAAATACTTTTATGCAAAGAAAGTCTTTCGTGTGATTTTTTTAAGAGGGCCCACTAAATTTGCAAGCTAGTTTTGTTGCAAATCATAATTTGATATTGATGACAATTATGTCCAAACTTACTGTCAATTTTGAGTTTGTTTCCTAGGTTTGTTGTGTCCCTGGACGGGTCTTAATGGATGCTTTCTGAGAAACAAGAGTCAAAAGCAGCAACTCAATGGGAAAAGCATCAGAGATCAAAGGCTAGTGATTAATACTAAAGCAACTATTGTAATGAATTGTAAGTGGGGGAGATCTTGCTTTTTTGATATGAATTCATTCCATGGCCTAGCAAGGGTTTAGAACTAATGTTTGAACTTCTCTGAAACTGCCTCATTCTTTCAGATTAAGATTGGTTAGAGAAGCATAAATAAGCTTGAGAAAAAGAGAGGCAAATCTGTTAGAGTAGCAACTTATGGTCTTAATGGAAATTTGATTTTACTCAGGATGTTATCAGGAGCTAGAACATGTCTAGGAAGACATGTAAACTGCTTAGGGTTCACTTTGGAAATGTTCCCTAATTAATGTGATATTATACTCACACCTGAAACCCTGATGAAGGGAATTTGCTATCAAAGATCTTGGGGACTGTTAATGAATTCTGACTCTAACTCCAGGTATTGTCAACAAGGAACTGATTGAGCTACTAACCCATGATGCCAGAAACCCTGTGAGGGGTTTGTGAGCTGCATCTAGGAGCTGCAAGAGAGTGTTCTCATGAGAAGATTGGGAGAATGACTTTTCTGCATGACTGAGAGAGGATTCTCCTGACTCAATTTCCCCACTATGACACCTGGCAGACTTTAAGCCTGGCTCAATGCAGTTGGCTATTAAATACCTTCTGCCTGTAATTGACATGAAGGTAGGGAAGAATTGTTCCTTTACTTTAGTTATGTCCCTGTTCTTTCATGGCAAATGTTTAAATTCATAAGTTTTGTAAGCATAATATCAAATCTATTAAATAATAGACTGATGCAGGAACATCTGAGGTTATTATAGTAAGATGCAAGTATAAGATTTAGTTATTTGGCCTAGAATTTTAGAATTAAGTATTCAGTCTTGACATCTATTACTAGTACATTCCTGTATAAGTCAGGGAGAGTCCTTTAATTTCTTACAATGGTATGGGGATAGTTAGGAAGCCAGCTTGTGGAACGAAGATATTATTCTGTTACTTAGTTAATACTTAGTTAATATTAAAGTTGTCTCAGTTTGTTACAATTAATGTTAAAAGAAGAGTGGCTTGTGGCCTAGCTTGTAAACGCCTTAAAAGAAGCATCTATTTTAATTATGGATTATTTATTTGTACATGACCAGAAGTTGGAATTGTTTTATTACTTGTACAGTTTTATTACTTGTGCAGTTTTAAAACTGATTACTATGTATTGGAGTCTGTTATTAATTCCTTAATAGAATCTCCTCCTCCTGATGGGGGAACATGAATAAGAATGAATAATGAATTAATGCAAGGTATAAAACTAGAACTAATGCAGAGTGTAAGGCCAGGTTCTAATTTTTCTGTTACTTTTCTAATTTGAGTTTCTTAAACATGACAATTCGCCAAAGTTCCAATTTTTGATCCTATAATAATGAAGACATAAGGGTTGAGTTAACTTTCATTATTTGCCCTGGTTATTGGCAAGGTAATTTAAAAATTGTGTTAAGATCAATCTTATAGGAGAACAGACCCAAGAAAGAGAATCTCTACAAGAAGACAGTCTGCTGGACACTGCTTGAACAGCACCAAGACCAGAAAACTTCCCTGTATGATGTCCAGAATGCCAGACAACTGTATGAACAGAGACTTCTGCAGCCTTAAATGGACAATTTATCATTACTTTGGGGTCTCTGTATCTGTATTTACTAAGGGGACAGCCCCCTTTTTGATTTGTCAATGCATAAATCCCTTGATGAAATGTTGACCAATAGCACAGCTCCAGATGGAACCATTACTAAGGCATCGCAAAGTCTAACCACTTTAGCTGAGGAGCTGGAAGAGAACTCTGGCATAGATAATTAATTAAAGGAATAGTTAGAATCATGGGTTGGCAAATGGAAGGTAATGGCAGAAGACAGCTGGGGTATTGACAGTTGTAGGCTATTGCATAATATCTTGTGAAGAGACTGAGGTGAACCCTAATTATGGTCAAAACATAATGAATTAAAAGATGCAGATGTAACAGAGTAAAATAAAAGAAAAAGGGGGATTGTAGGATATATGGATGTTGCTTCTGCATCAGAGGGTGGAGTCAAAGAAATAGTTTTTTTATTATTATTATTTCCACAAAAAGCCAAGTAGAAACCTTAAGGAATGCAGTCTGGGGGCTAGGTGGAAGTTGGACAAAAGGGAATTATAAGAAAACACTCTTGGTGGTGAAAAGACTAACCTGCTGAAAATCAGTTCTGAGGTTAACATAAAAAGGGGTGTTCCCAAATAAGGGCCCAATGGCAGAATTGTGGGGAATGGGAGATGTAATTAGGGGTGGAGGCTCACGAGGGAGAGGAGTAATAGGTGCTTCAGATAATAATACCCAATGGATGCTGAAACAAGGGAAGGAATTTCGAATGGGGAATAGGGGATAAAAAGATGTGCATTTGTCAATACATGTGCTCTCACACATACAGGATGCCCAGCCTTCTTCCTAATTCAACAATGGCTTCATGGAATTCATGATATTGATATAGATAACAGGAACCAGCAAAGACTTCAGGAAAAAGTAGTCAAGCCACTTCATTTCCATTCCCTCATCTGCAAAAACTTGGAACCTTAGGAATTATCCAAGACAATACTTCACTTTATAGAGATGAGGAAAGTGAGCACAGCTCTTCCAGCCCAAGGAGAAGGTGGATCCAGGTTTCAGACCTGGGTAAGCGTACACAGCAGTGTTTCTAATAATAATGTTTTAGCCTGGAGAATACCCTAGAGAAACCCTTCTCGTGCCCCCAGCCTCCATTATACAACCCAATGCCACATTGCCTCCATCGCTATTTTGCCAATAGGGAACCTGGCTGCCCAAAGGAAGATCCTGGCCATGTGGCTGGGCATTAGCCTCTTCTTGCAGCTGTGTTCCCACATGCTGTCACTTAACTTGGATTCTCTCTCCAGCCAGCCCAGCGCCTTTGCCTCAGCGAGCCAGATAGGACAGCCCTTGCACAAGCAGGGCTCCCAGCCATTCCAGGAGGGACTCAGGCTGACTGACTGCCCAGGCCAGGCCCCACTTCTACTGTCTACTCCCTCTACCAGTTCAATCTCCTCCTTCACTCTTCTAACTACACCCTAAGTCTCAGGTGACCAGAGCTCGGACCTGCAAATCCCCACCCACAGCCTCCAGCCTACCAGCCCCTTAGCCTAAGGAGGAGCCAGAGTGAGACTCAATCCCACAGAGGCTACTACAGAGGCACAGAAGACCCAAATGGGCTTGACTTGGCCACATCCTGGCTGCTCCATAAGAATAGGACAGGAATAGGAGACTACGAGTTCTCCTGACTCAGCTGAGGTCAATGACTCACTGACACCCAACCAACCAATCTTTTTCCTTTCCCTAGCACCCTGTGCCTCATAGCATCACACCTGGAGGAGGACTCTTGTACTTCTTCCCCAGGAGAAGAGCTTGCTAACCCTATTTAATCCCCTCTAAGCCTGTCACCCCAGAGACAAGATTCCCCAAACCTAGCATTTTACACTGCTTTCCATCATTCTCCTAGCTTTTCTTTGTAGCTCTAGAGCCACATGTGGATGCAGATCCCATCTCTAACACTTAAATCCAGCCTCAGACACTTATTAGATCCAATGCTAATGTCAGAAGGCAGGGCAGCCTGGTCATTTCAAGGCATAATAGTGATTGAGATTCTACTCTGTTACAAATATATCTTTATATATACATATACATATATGTGTGTGTGTATATATATACACACACACACACACACACATATATATGCACATGTGTATGTATGTATATAAACATGTATGTGTATATATGCACATACATATACATATATACATGTGTGTACACACAAAACACACACACATGAAATGACCATGATTTTCTGAACTGCAAAGCAGGACTCAGACTAAGGCTACTCCCTTTTGTAAAACTTCATAAATAATAATGACTCAAATTCTATATAGCCTACCAAGGTTTAGCAAGCACTTTACTCCCCCAAAGCCATCCCATAATGAGGTTCAGAGATGCTCCGGTACTACTTATCCAAGCTCTCACACGTAATAAGTGGCAAAGAATTATTGCTGCAAGCCAGGTCTCCTAGCCTTGCAGTTTGCACTGCTTTTCATTACATACCTATAGATAGCTAGATACTGCCACAATAAACAGAGTGCTGGGCCTGGAATCAGGAAGATTTCAAATCTAGTCATAGACACTTACCAGCTAGCTGTGTGACCCCAGGTAAGTCACTTAACCTCTGACTACCTCAATTTCCTCAGTACCTACCTTCCAGGGTTGTTATAAGGATAAAATCAGATCATATTTGCAAAGCACTATATAAATGCCAACTATTTATTAAATACACACTTTATTTTCTCAAAATGTGAATTGCCCTGGAACAGACATAACTGTGCAGTACATATATCACTATATATTAGGACAATATGTGTGTGTGTGTGTGTGTGTGTGTGTGTGTGTGTGTGTGTGTGTGTTACGGCAGCTGGGTGGTGCAGTGGATATAGTGCTAGGCCTGTAGAAAGAAAGACCTCAGTTCAAATCTGGCCCCAGACACTTACTAGCTGTGTGGCCCTGGAAAAGTCACTTCACCCTGTTTGCTTCAGTTTCCTCACCTGTAAAATGAGCTAGAGAAGGCAATGAGAAACTACTTCAGTACCTTTGTGAAGGAAAACCCCAAATGGGGTCATGAAGAGTTGGACACAACTGAAAATGACTAAACAACAACAAAACAACACATATAACTATGGGGTGGGGAGGGAGGAAAGACTCTTCTTTGAACTGTGATAAAAAGTGTTTAATAACCAAGTGCTGTCCCTTCCCCTCTCAAGGTCTGTTTCCTCATTTGGGAAAGGAAGAGATCAGAGTAAATAACTGTGAAGGTCTGTTCCAGCTCTAACTCCTATTATCAAGAGCCACACCAATGAGGAAACTGAAGCTCAAAGTCACAGTTCACAAGTGGGAGACAAATGGCTGAGGTTTCCAGTCTCAATCCAAGTGACCACTCCTTTCCCCACCCCATTTCCTCAACTGCATGCTCTCCTGCTTAAGACATTTCAACAGCTTTGAACTGAAGGTATAATAAAAAAACAATAATAACTTACGTACTTATATGGCTTTATTATTTTCAAAGCACTTTCTTACAGATGATCTAATTTGAGCCTCACAATGAGCTTGTGAGGTAGGCAGGGCAGATATTATTCTAATTTGACAAATTAGGAAATGGAGGTTCAGAAGTGAAATAACTTGCCCAAGGTTTACCCAGCAGAATGAGATAGTTGAAGTCCCTTGGCTTTTTTCCAGGGCATCCTGACATATAGAAAGGGTAGGATGGGAAAAAGACTGGATTTGGAATTGGAGGATCTGAATGAAAATCTTGTCTTTGTGACAATTGTCTGGGCCTCAGATTCTTCCCATAAAATGAAGGAGTTGGACTGAGTGACCTGGCCTGTCCACTGGTCAACTCTAGTCCTTTTGTCTAAGATCCTTCTTTAGCCATGGGAAAGGTATCCTATATTTGCAGGCATCAGTTTTCCCAGCTATGATGTTGGGGAGAAACCTTCATAGCATGCTGAATTTACAGTAAAAGGACCTGGACTCGAATCCCTGGCTCAGCAACTGAGGTAGGATTTGAACTCAGACCTTCTGCTACTTACTATCTACCTGTATGAACCCTGGGCTAATCATTTCATTTCTCTAGGCCTCAGTTTTCTCTTTTGTAAAAATCAGGAGGCTGGCCTAGTACTAGGTAATCTCTAAAGTTAATTCCAGCTTTAACTTTCTGATTACAATCATTTCTCTTTCCTCCATAAGGATGTATTAATAACAATAATTTTAGTTTTTGCTGTTGTTGTTCAGTTGTTTTTAGTCACGTTCAACTCTTCATGACCATATTTTGGGGCAGAGATATTAGAGTTGTTTCTCATTTCCTTCTTCAACTCATTTGACAGATGAGGAAACTGAGACAAATAGAGTTAAGTGACTTGCCTGGGGTCATATAGCTGGTAGATGTCTGAGGCTGGATTTGAACTTAGGATGAAGAGTCTTCCTGACTCTAGGCCCGATGCTGTATCCCCTGTGCTGCCACTAATAGTTCAAACTATTTAATACTTTAAGGTTTACAAAGCACTTTGCATATGCAAACTCATTTTATCCTGGGAGGTAGGTACTAGTATTATCCTCATTTTATAGTTGAGGAAACTGAGATTTAACGAGGTTAAAAGACTTACCCAAGGTTACCCAGCTAGGAAGTATAAGAAGCAGGCTTTGAACTCAGACCTTCCTCACAATACAAGTCCTACACTTTATCCATTTCAACCTAACTGTTTAAGAGTCTTGAAGACAAATAAAATGGAAATGGGAAAATGTCATGTAAATACCGGCTGAGCCCATAGACACTAACACTCTAGAGAATGAGTCTAGGTTTGCAGGGGTAAAGAGTCCATTTAACTAGGATTTTTTTTTTTTAACTTCCATTGAGCTCTTCACAAAGGCTTTTCACAGATGTTATCTTATGTGTGATCTTCACTTCAACTTTTGGAGGGAGATATTATTATCCCCATTTTACACTTGAGGCTCAAAGAGTTTAAATGATTCACTCAAAGTCTGATACATAATACAGGTTAAGCATGAACTAGAACCCAGGTCTTTGAGCCTTAATCTAGTGTTTCTTCTATCTGCGTCAATCTTTCAACCAATCAACAAGCATTTATTAAGTACTTACTATGTGCCAGGAAATCCCAAGTACTAGGGGACCCAAATAGATGCAAAAACAGTCTCTGCCCAGAAGGCGCTTACCTTCTAATGGGAGAGAGGACATGCAAATAATTCAGCACATACATGATACATACAGAGCTGGCAGAAGTTTGTCTCTAAGGGGAAGGCACTGGAAGCTGGGGAAAATGCTTAAGACCTCCTGCGGAAGGCTGTCTTGGAGCTGAGTCTTGAAACACGCAAGAGATTCTAAAGAGGTGGAAGTGAGGACGAATGTTTAAAAAATGGAAATGCTTGGGTTCATTACCAGTAATGAACATTTTACACTACAAAGGAAAATTTTAAAGTATTTGCCTCAAATCACCACCTCTGTCCTCTGAAGATCCCCAAGGAAAATGGCAGTAGAGGATGTGGAAAGAATACTGAGCTTGAAGCCTTGGTCTTGATTCTAATAGTAGCACATGGTCTTGATTCCAATACCAGCAATGTCACTTTTTAAGTGTAATATTAGGCAAATAACTTCAGTTCTCTAGGCCTTTCCTAACTAGAGAATGGGAATTATACTTCTTACCCTGTAATCTCCTTACAAAGTTGCTGACAGGAAATCATTTTGTAAGAAACATAACATAAGCTATAATTTATTATCTGCAAAATGAGATCATAAACATAATTATTACTGGATAACATAAAGAACATAAGCTCCCAATGGGCTTTTTGGACTATTTGTTATTTAAAAAAAAATAGTTGATGGATATGAACAGGCAGTTCTCAGATGAAGAAATTAAAACTATCTACAGTCACATGAAAAAATGCTCTAAATCACTATTGATTAGAGAAGTGCAAATCAAAACAACTCTTAGGTACCACATCATACCTATCACATTGGCCAAGATGACAAAACAAGGAAATGATAAATGTTGGAGAAGATGTGGGAAAATTGGAACACTAATGCATCGTTGGTGTAGTTGTGAAATGATCCAACCATTTTGCAGGGCAATTTGGAACTATGACCAGAGGGCTATAAAAATGTGCATACCCTTTGACCCAGCAATAGCGCTTCTAGGGCTATATCCCAAAGAGATCATACAAATGGGAAAAAGACCCACATGTACAAAAATATTTATAGCAGCTCTTTTTGTGGTGGCAAAGAATTGGAAACTGAGGATGCCCATCAACTGGGAAATGGCTGAAGAAGTTCTAATATATGAATGTAATCGAATACTATTGTGCTATAAGAAATGATGAACAGGCTGATTTCAGAAAGATCTGGAAAGATTTGTACGCTGAGTGAAATGCTGAGTGAAATGAGCAGAACCAAAAGAAAGTTGTACACAGTAACAGCCATGTTGTGCGAGGACTAATATTGATAAACTTAACTCTTTCCAGCAATACAAGGATCTAAGACATCTCCAAAGGCCCTGTGATGGAAAATGCTATCCACATCCAAAGAAGGAACAATGGAATTTGAATGCAGATTGAAGTACAGTATGCTATTTTTTTCCTCTTCTGTTGAGTTTTGTTTCCTCTTTCTGTTGGTTCCTCCTACTGGTTCTAATTCTTACTTATAACATCACTAATGTGAAAATACGTTTAACAGGAATGTATATGTATAGCTTATATAAGATTGTGTGCCATCTTCGGGAGGGTGGTATGGAGGAAGGGGGAGAAAAATTTTAAACTCAAAAGCATATTGAAGTGATTGTTGATAAGTCAAAATAAATTGATAAAAAAAATGACTTGGGTCTCTGCTCAGAGTCTAGATTCCAGTTGAAGCTGTGTTCCTGTCTGAGAGGCCTCCTAGCACGATGTCTAGGGTGCATTCATGGAATAGAAATCACTGGGCCAGGACTAGCAAATCACTTTGGAGACTGGTTCAGGAAGAACCCAAATCTAGTTCATCTCAGTGGATACTCAAGGCCTGAAATGGATAATATAACAGTAGAAAGAATACAAGGAATGTTAATAACTTGTGAGAGAATCCTATTCTTTTAAACCTATGTTGGGCCATAGCAATGTTGAGTTACAATTCCACTTTTCTAATTCAACTAAAGAGATATCTTTTAGTTATTGTATCTCATACATTAAGCTTCACAATCTCTACATATTAAAATAGAGAGAATACAAGGAAGGTCAAGGACTTCTGAGAAATCCCATCCTGTTAATCATATGTTGCTCCACAGCAATGTTGAGTTACAATTCCACATTTCTAATTCAAGAAAAGAGATATCTTTTAGTTATTCTGTTTCATGCATTAAGCTTCACAGTCTCTATGTATTACAGTAGAAAGAATACAAGGAATGTTAACAACTTCTGAGGAAATCCCACCCTTTTAATCCTATGTTGGGCCAAAGCAATGTTGAGTTAGAATTCTACTTTTCTAATTCAACTAAAGAGATATCTTTTAGTTATTCTATCTCATACATTAAGCTTCACTGTCTCTTCACATTACAATAAAAAGAATAGAAGGAATGTTAACAACTTCTGAGAAAATCCCATCCTTTTAAACCTCCTTTAGGCCATAGAAATGTTGAGTTACAATGCCACTTTTCTAATTCAATTAAAGAGATATCTTTTAGTTATTCTACCTCATACATTAAGCTTCACAGTCACTACATATTACCATAGAAAGAGTACAAGAAATGTTATCAACTTCTGAGGAAATCCCATCCTTTTAATCCTACTTTGGGCCAAAGCAATGTTGAGTTATAATTTCATTTTTCTAATTCAACTAAAGAGATATCTATTAGTTATTCTATCTCATGCATTAAGTTTCACAGTCTCCACATATTAAAAGAGAGAGAATACAAGGAATGTTAACAACTTCTGTGAAAATCCCATCCTTTTAAACCTAGGTTGGGCTACAGCAACGTTGAGTTACATTTTCCACTTTTCTAATTGAATTATAGAGATGACTTTTAGTTATTCTCTCCCATGCATTAAGTTTCACTGTCTCTACATATTACAATAGAAAGACAACAAGGAATGTTAACAACTTCTAACAAAATCCCATCCTTTTAATCCTATGTTGGGCCACAGCAATGTTGAGTTACAATTCTACTTTTCCAATTCAATGAAGGAGATATCTTTTAGTTCTTTTATCTCATGCATTAAACTTTACAGTCTCTACATATCACTATAAAAAGAATACAAGAAATGTTACCAACTTCTGAAGAAATCCTCCTTTTAATCCTATGTTGGGCCAAATCAATGTTGAGTTGCCATTTCACTTTTCTAATTCAACTAAAGACATATCTTTTAGTTATTCTACCTCATGCATTAAGTTTCATTGTCCTTACATATTACAATAGAAAGATGAGAAGGAATGCTAACACCTTCTAACAAAATCCCAAACTTTTAATCCTATGTTGGGCCATAGCAATGTTGACTTACAACTGCACTTTTCTTAATCAACTACAGAGATACCTTTTAGGTATTCCATCTCATGCATTATGCTTCACTGTCTCTACACATTACAATAGAAAGAATACAAGGAATGTTAACAACTTCTGAGAAAATCACATCCTTTTTATCCTATACTGTTCCATAGCAACGTTGAGTTACAATTCCACTTTTCTAAATTAACTAAAGAGATATCTTTCACTTATTCAATCTCATGCATTAAGCTTCACAGTCTCTCCATATTACAATGGAAAGAATACAAGGAATGTTAACAAGTTCTGAGAAAATCCCATGCTTTCAATCCTAGGTTGGGCCATAGCAATGTTGAGTTACAATTCCAATTTGTAATTCAACTGAAGAGATATCTTTTAGTTATTCTATCTAATGCATTAAGCTTCACTGTCTCTACATATTTCAAGAAAAATAGAAAGTGGAATCGTAACTCAACATTGCTATGGCCCAACCTAGGATTAAAAGGATGGGATTTTTATATTAGTTGTTAACATTCCTTGTATTCCTGCTCTTCTAATATGTATAGACTGTGAAGCTTACTGCATAGGACAGAGCAACTAAAAGGTACCTCTTTAGTTGAATTAGAAAAGCAGAATTGTAACTCAACATTGCTGTGGCCCAACATAGGATTAAAAGCCTGGAATTTTCTGAGAAGTTGTTAACATTCCTCGTTATCTTTCTATTGTAATATGTAGAGAGAGTGAAACTTAATGCGTGAGATAGAACAACTAAAAGATATCTCTTCAGTTCAATTCGAAAAGTGCATTTGTAACTCAACATTGATATGGCCCAAAAGAGCATTAGAAAGATGGCATTTTCTCAGATGTAGTTAACATTCCTTGTATTCTTTCTATTATAATATTTGGAGACTGTGAAACTTAGTGCATGAGATGGAATAACTAAAAGGTATCTCTTTAATTGAGTTAGAAAAGTGGAACTGTAACTTAACATTGCTAGGGCCCAACATAGGATTAAAAGGATGGTATTTTTTCAGAAGTTGTTAACATTCCTTGTATTCTTTCTACAGTAATATGTGGAGACTGGGAAGCTTAATGCATGAGATAGAATAAATAAAACATATCTCTTTAGTTGAATTAGAAAGGTGCAATTGTAACTCAACATTACTATGGCACAAAAGAGGATTAAAAAGATGGGATTTTCTCAGAAGTTGTTAACATTCCTTGTATTCTTTCTGTTCTAATATGTAGAGACTGTGAAGCTACAACTAAAATATATCTGTCTAGTTGAGTTAGAAAGTAGAATTGTAACTCAACATTCCTGTAGCACAACATAGGATTAAAAGCCTGGGATTTTCTCAGAAGTCGTTAAATTTCTTGTTATCTTTCTATTGTAATATGTAGAGACAGTGAATCTTAATGCATGAAATAGAACAACTAAAAGATATCTCTTTAATTGAATTAGAAAACTGCATTTACAACTCAACATTGCTATGGCCCAAAAGAGCATGAAAAGGATGTATTTTCTCAGCAGTACTTAACATTCCCTGTATTCTTTTTATTGAAATATGTAAAGACAGTGAAACTTAATGCATGAGATAGAATAACTGAAATATATCTCTTTAGTTGAACTAGAAAAATGGAAATGTAACTCAACATTGCTATGGCTCAACATAGGATTAAAAGGATGGGATTTTCTCAGAAATTGGTAACATGACTTGTGTTCTTTCTATTGTAATAGATGGAGACAGTGAAGCTTAATGCATGAGACAATATCTAAAAGATATCTCTTTAGTTGAATCAAATAGTGGAATTGTAACTCAATATTACTATGTCCCAACACAGGAAGAAAAGGATGGGATTTTCTCAGAAGTAGGTAACATTCCTTTTATTCTTTCTATGGCAATATGGAGAGACTGTGAATCTTAATGCCTGAGGGAGAATAACTAAAAGATACCTGTTTAGCTGAATTACAAAAGTGGAATTGTAACTGAACATTGCAAGGGCCAGACATAGGATAAAAGGATGGGATTTTCTAAGAGGTTGTTGACATTCCTTCTGTTCTTTCCATTGTAATACGTAGAGACAGTGAAGCTTAATGCATGAGATAGAATAACTAAAAGATATTTCTTTAGTTGAATTAGAAAAGTGCAATTGTACCTCAACGCTGCTATGGACCAACGTAGGATTAAAAGGATGGGATTTTCTTAGAAGTTATTAACATTCCTTGTACTCTTTCTATTGTAATATGTAGAGACAGTGAAACTTTTTTTTCTCTAAGAATAATTAGTCACTTCCCAACATAAATATAAAATATTTCTTTAATTACAACCCCTCTATTTGTAAATGCTTTTTTCTGTCTCCACGGGAAACAATTCAAGACTCCAAGGTTCCTTATGACCGAAGCCTCTCTCACCAAAGCATTCATCATTTACAGATAGTATTAGCACAGCTTGGAGAATATTAGGCAAATGTTTACATTGAGTCAGCTAACAGTGCACCAACTGTATTCTACAACTCCTGCCAAAATGCAAGGGCTGTCATCATTTTAAATTAAATTATGGACCACACTATCTTAAAAATCTTTCCTTTAAACGCTGGAATGCTAAGTCATACTTCCATGTCCTCTAAAGCATAATCAAACTGAGGGAACAGATGGCCCAGAGATCCACATTGCTTTATCACCCCAGAGCTCAATCTGTGCTAGAACAGTGCACCCAAACGGGAGCAAACAAATCTTATGTCTCTGTGCTGGCCAATATGAAATGATCTGATTTATTTCATCTAGTTATTAGTGGGAAAGTGTTCATACTGAAAAAAACCAAAGCATTACAGAGGCAAACTGGGGGAAGTTTTAACTGGGAGCCAAACCTGAATCAGCTCCTGGGATAAGTATGCAAGATACTGAGCCAAATTAAGAAGGAAGCATTTCAGCACAGCACAGCACAGCACAGCAAAACACCACCTAACATGACAAATTAAAAGAAAAGTTGATTTCTAAGGAGGTCACTCTTTTGCATATAATTAATCCATTCCTTTGATTTTTATTTTTAAGGGACTGAAGATTGACAACTGGAACTGTTAGTATGATGTAAATCAGTCTAGAAAAATCTTATGGATTTCTTTTCCTATTTCAAAGTAAAGGTGAAGTCTTATGGTATTTGGAAGTATATGGTGTTTCTAGTAGGGCCTCAATATGAGAACCGCGGTCATTTACCCTGAAAGGCTTACATTCTAACTACCTGAAAGTATAAATACATTTTATACAGATTTGGGTGGGGCATAGGAATAAGTCACATTCATTACTGACATCATAAATATTTTTTAAAATTCCTTCAGAAAAAATTAAGTTTTGGATTCTGGGCTTTTCGTTAAAAGGCAGCCAAATGACTTTTCAAGATGCAAACTAGATGCATGACCAGAAAGGATGCTGCTGCACTGTTCAAAAGCCAGACATGAAGCGACCCCTACTGGTTATTCCAGAAAAACAAAAACATTCCCTAATCATCTGAATGACTCAGGACATGCAGAAGGGAGCTTCCTATGGCTCCTGGGGTTTTTCCCAGAACAAATATCGAGTTTTCTAGAAATATTAAAGTCAAGTAGCATTTGTTAAATGCCCACGGTGTGCCAGGCACTGAGCTGAGCACTGGGCATACACAGGAAAGTAAAAAATAGCCCCTGCCCTCAAGAAGCTCACTGTCCAAGGCAGGGGAGAACATGCAAACGGCTAAGTGTGAACAGGATAGAGACAGGATAAACAGGGGAGAGTCTCAGAGGGGAAGGACAAAGATTAATGAAAAAATGAGGAAAGAGACAAGAAGCCCCACCACTTATTAATGCAAGACTAACTTCTGCTCCTTCAGGTCACCGCTGCTCCTCCAAATGGATGCTCAAAAACTTTTCTGTACATCTTCCATTCTCCTGTTTATCAGGTGTGCCCCACACAGAGCGTTTCTGACCAACAGTAAGAAGCCTTATTGCCCACAGAGTCCTTAGCAGAAGTTCACCTCACCACTCCTAATGTCCTTCCTCGAGAATCCAAGGGCAACCGTGCCAGCTGCTCCCTGGGGCTCGGGGGAGGGGTACAGAAGAATCATCACTGCTTTCAGGAAAGACCTGCGGTTTTCAATATCTAGGACAAGTAGACTAGCTGACAAAGGGGGTAACGTGGGGGGAAGGAGGTGGACTCTTTCCAACAGCCCAACCATTTTTCTACATTGACACATACTTCAGATATGACAAAAAGATAGCAAGGAAACTCTTTCTTTCCTTCTTTAATCAATACAGAGTTACACAAAATAGTTTCTGTCCTTTACAAATCAGTGGCTTGGTCTAAAACGTTACTTGAAAATCTACTGAGAAGTGTCCTAGCAAAATTGTCAAAATGTTGTGTTTTTGTAAAACGGCATGATCAAATGATCAGATCATGAATTGTACTTTCAATGAAACTATTAACCATACAAACCCCTGAATGCACAGATGACAGACAGAGGTGGGGGCAATTGAAATGACAGTGATCCCTTCTTTCCAAGCCCCCACACCAGTGGGAGAGCCACTGCAGTCTGACCATCTCTGCTCATTATCCATGGGCGTGATGAAGCCTGGAAATTATAGGAGCTGGGAGGAGCAAAGAAACCATGGTTACTAAATAGAACCTGAAAGCTCTGATGAGACACAACAAATACTCATTTGAGGGGATCAGCACTCCATTTTATCCATGGGGGAAAGCTCCCCAACTGTAACTCACACAGCTGTTTTCCTGCCATCATTTAAGGAGCACACACTCCTTGCGATTTTGACCATCAATTCCTGAATTATGTATGCCGAAGATTATTATTTTTTAAAAGTTGCTTTAAGAAATGACAGGAAATGCATATGTATGTATGTATGTGTTATACATGCACTTACATATATACACATATATTTTCTGGTGCATACCTGGGATTTCACTGGTGTGAGGAACTCCAGGTATAGAATCTCCCTCCACCAAAGAAATAAATAACTTCTCTGTAATTTACAGTCTTAGGGACTCGTTTGGGTCCCTAAGAGATTAAGCAATTTATCTAGGGTCATACAGCCTGGATGTATTAGGAGCTGGATTTGAACTCAGGCTTCTTTGACAAAGTAATTTTCCTTAAGTGCATATCTGACTCCATACCCCCTCCTCAAACTTCAGTGACTCCCTATTGCCTCTAGGACAAAGAAGAGACTCCTCTGTTTGGTTTTTGCATTCCTTCACACCCCTACTCTAACCTATCTTTTCAGTCTCTGTCCGTGTGTCTCTCTCTCTCTCTCTCTCTCTCTCTCACACACACACACACACACACACACACACACACACACACACACAGCCAGCGCTGCAGTGGTTAGAGCACTGGAATTAGGAAGCCCTGAGCTGCTAGGAAAGTCACTTAATCTCTGTTTTCCTCAGTTTCCTCAATTGTAAAATGGGAATAATAATAGCATCAGCCTCAGTGTTGTTGAAAAGAGACAATATTTGTAAAAAGTGCTCACCACAGTGCCTGGCACATAAGAGACTCTACAGAAGAGCTCATTCCTTTCTGTCTGTCTCCCTCTATGTACATATGTATATATGCACAAATGTAAACACACACACACATTTATCATGAAGACAAGAGACTTTCATTTTTTCATCTCTGTATTCTTGTGGTATATTTGTATTCTAGCCCTGTGCCTGGCACATAGTAGGGACTTGCTTGTTGATTGACTCCTGACTCCAAGGCAAGTCAGCTCTACCCATTATGCCATGCTGCTTCCCCTAGAAACACATCACTCTATAAACAACATAAACATTAGTGATGCCCTTTGGTAAAAGGAGGGAAAACAAAACATGGAAGTCAAGCTCTACCTGAATAGCCGCTCTGATTGGCTCTGGGATTCCATTCTAGTACCTGCTAACTCAATAACGAAATAATTTCTCAGGGGCAGAAAATCTTGCAGAAATTCAACTTTTGAGGCAGCGGTCAAAATTCCATCTCTGCCAATAAATGCAGGCCATTCCCCAGGATCATTGTTCCAATATGAGATTCATTAGACACTGGGATGTGGGACATGAAATAGGTGACCTCTGCCTGCTGAAGATGAGAAGCCAAAAGCTCTGGCCTGACTCTAATACTTAAACCTCATGTATTCGCAGAGTTAAAGAGTATTTTCAAGTCTTGACTAAATGCTACTGACAGGGAACAACTGAACGAGCTAAAGTGAAGGGGAGCCCAGTGACACTTATCCATGCTTCAAAATCTATCAGGTCAGAAGCTCTTTATAAAGCCAATCAATCATTAGCCAAAGAAACAGGGACCTCGGCCAGGGAGAAGGCAGATCAGCTGTGGAGTTACAAAGAGGCCTGACTGATGCTCCACCGGGCTTCTGGCTTGTTATCCCCACAGCAATGCTAAGTACCCTAGAGAGGAAGGGGGTGTGTGTGTCCGATAAGAGCACTGGACCTAGAATCGGGAAGTCCTGAGCTCAAATTCAGCCTCAGATCCTAACTAGCTGTGTGATCCTGGGCAAGTCCCTTAACCTCTGCCTGCCGCAGTTTTCTCATCTGTATAATGGGGATAACAGTAGCACCTACCTCCCAGGGCTATTGTAAGGATATAAAATGTCAATATTTGTAAAGCACTTTGTAAACTTTAAAGTGCTACATAAAAGCTTCCTACTGTTAGGAATTGGTGTGGGGTTGAAGGGGGCAAGGAAAACAGAAGAAAAATTCTAGCCTGGCCAATCATTAAGTTTGGAGTATACTGACCGGGGAAAGCTGAGATGGCACGAGGAAAGGGAAGGGCAGGTGCCAAGGCGCACCATCCGCTCCTTTACTCTTGCCTTTAAACCACGCCATCCTGGGCCTCTCGGAGAAAGGAGAGCAGCCTCCGCAGCCGGGGCGCTCTGGAGACTCCTGATCCAGGACGTCAGCTCCCCTCCACGTGATAGGGGCCCGCCGTCTTTCCGCTGACTTCCGCCCCTTCCAGGGCGGCTCCCGAGGCGGCTTCCGGGGGCGTGCTGGCTCCGCCCCTTTCCGCCGCCCGGCGCTAAATTCAAACGTACCGCCGCAGTGCACGCACTCGGGGCTGCCGGTCCTGGGAGCGGGAGCGTCCTGGCGTCTGGCGTCAAAGGTGAGTCAGTGTCCTCATCTGTACAGTGAGCTGGGGAAGGAAATGGTAAACCGTTCCAGCAGCTTTGCCAGGAAAACCCCAAATGAAAGCTGTATCTATATCTATCTATCTATCTACATAGATATGTGTATAATATACTTATGATGCTTTGCAAATCTTAAAATACTACATAAAATTTAACCGTGATCATTATTACTAGTCTTAATCTTGCTTTGCTTTCGTTTCCTCAGCTGTGAAATAGAGGGGTTGAACTGCCTGCCAGTGTCCCTTCTACCCTTAAATCTGTGATGTTGGGTCCTGGGTGTGAATCCTGGCTCTGCTGCCAAACCACCTTGTGTGTGACCTCCAGCAAGTCTTTTTTATCAAGAGGCCTTCTCTGTTTTCCTCATTTGAAAAATGACAGACTCTGGACAAAAAAACAATGACAGAATCGAAGTTGCTAGGTCACTTACAACTCTAAATTTGTGATCTTAAAAGGGCTCTTACACTTAGTCTCTACCTTACTTGGGGTGGTGGAACTGTTTTTGTCTTTTAGGAATGAGGAAAGGGAGGCAAAGTAGAATTTTAAAATGGTATTAAATTTAGTAAGTACTGATTCAATTGAACACATGTGCATTGAGCCCCTGATAAAAGGCACTGCTTTAGGTGCTAGAAACACAAAGAAAAATAGGAATTGGGCCCATCTTCTGTGGGAAGATGGAAGGAATCAGGTGTCTTGCCTCACTGGTTCACTGCTTTTTCTATTAGACTAGTGATTTTCAAATTTTTTAGTCTCAGGACTCATTTATACTCCTTAAAATTATTGAGAACCTCCAGGAGCTTTTGCTTATGTGAATCATGTCTATCAATATTTACCATTTAGAAATTAAAATTGATAAATGTTTTAAATATTAATTCATTTAAAATGACAATAAGGCCATTACATTAACATAAATGTGTTTTATGAAAATGTGTTTTCCAAAACAAAAGTTTAGTGGGAAGAGTGGCATTGTTTTGCATATTTTTGCAAATCTAACATCTGGCTACTATGCGCCTGAGGCAGGATTTGAACCCACTGCTTCCTGCCTCTGTGCACTTGGCCACACTGTCTCTATGTAGATCATTAAATGTGGTCACAGAGGTTTGTGGGACTCACTACTGCAGTTACAAAAATCTATGACTTCGTAGGTATCGGTATTGAATATACTAAGAAATGTGTAAGTGATTTTCCCTCTTCTACTTTTTCTTTCTTCTTGTGTAGAAAGACTGGCTTTTTTTCTAGATGTGAGCAATCAGTCATAGCCAATCTTATCCTTCTCTTTATGTTACTTAGAAAACCCAGAAAGTGCAACTTAGCTGTCAAAAACTTTTTGTTTTAGTCTATGCTTGAATGTAGAGCTATCCCTATACTTAGGGTTGATTGCTAGAAGTATGGCTCTGAGGTAACTAAGGTTTTGATATATGGCACTTTCTGCTTTCAACAATCACTTTTTGACCTCTGCTTCTGGGAGCCAGGATGGCTGAGTAAAAAGGTAGTTGCTCTCACCCTCCCCTATCAACTTCTGAAAACCCAGACAATATCCCTCCAGGAAAAAAAAACAAAAACAAAAAAAAACCCTGAAACAGCTGAACTAGAAGAAAGACGTGGAACGGCAGTGCAACAGCCCACTAAACGGGTCTTCCAGTGCCTCAGCAAAAATAAGGTAAGCAGCACTACAAAGGGCCCCAGGCGGATAAACACCCTGCAGCATTCATCTGAAAGGAGCTGAAAAAAGCAACCTGGAGTCTTCCTAAAGTCCCAGCCTTGCTGATTCCAACCCAACACCAGAACCCTACAGCCTCCACCTGTCAACCAGGAAGAGATCCTGAAGCCCAGGTGGTAGAGCAGGCAAACACCAACACCTGGACCTCCAAGTGTCTCAGTGAGGGGCAAGGGAACCCGTGGAAACCAGCTCAGAAAACCACCAGGTGCCTCGACACTCTACTGCAAAGGAATCTCCCAGTGCATTAGCAGAAAGGAGGGAGGCAGCATTGCAAGGGGCCCCAGGCAGATAAACACCTTGCAGCACCCATCTAAAAGGAGCTGAAGAAAACTAAAGGAAAGGAAAAGCAGGCAACCTAGAATTGCCTGAAAGTTCCAGCCTTGCTGATTCCAGCCCCACACAAGGTAAGCTGGCAAAACCCTGTAGTGTCCAATTGCCAGCATAAGAGGCCCCAGCCCACAAAAGCAGTGACCAAGATCTAGGCTCCCAACACAAGAAGCTTGGGTCAGTGCCCTCTGTTCCCCAGCAGGAGAGCTCAATCTCTTTAAAGGCCAGGGAATAAAGAAATCATGAGTAAAAAGAAATGTACCGTGGATTCATATTATGAGAAGAGTGAAGATCAAGACAGAAATTCTGAAGAGGATATCATTGTTAACAAACCCACATCTGCAACATCAGAAGGGAATAGGAAGTGGTCTGAAGCCCAAAAAGCCTTCTTAGAAGAGCTCAAGAAGGATTTTAAAAGTCTAATGAGAGAGGTAGAAGAGTTCTTAAAAAACGCAATTGACCAATTGGAAAAAAAAGTACACTGAAGAAAACAAATCCCTTAAAAATACAATTGGCCAGTTGAAGAAGGAAGGAGAAAAACTAACAGAAGATAAATAAAATAAATTAATAAAATTTAAAAAAACCAATCACTTTTCATTGAGAATATGACACTCCTTCCATTGAAAAGTAAAGATCATTTTTGTTTTCACCATATCACTTTCACTATTTCATCTGTTAATTGTTGGGGAGGTAAAAGTAAAAAAGAATCTGTCATTCTATGTGCCTGTTTAATTCCTGTTTAATGATATTTTCCTGTCTTGTTTTCTAGACAGTTTCCGTGCTGTAACACCATCACAATCTCACCAAGTGAGGTAAGAAAAACTTCTTTGATGGTGTGGAAATGTGTTCTTGAGCCTGTTAGTCTCAAAAAGCAGCATAGATTGGAGAGGCAGTAGGGCCTTAATGAAAGGAGCAGGCTTTGAGTCAGGAGACATTGATCAGTATCCTGGGTCTAACACCTAATAGCTGAATGACGGCAGGCAAGCCATTGAATTTCTCTGACCCTCCTTTTCTTCATTATGAAAGAGAGTAGTGATACTTGTACTACTTATAAGTAAGTATACTTATACACAGGGTTCTTATGAGGGAAGTATTTTGGAAATTCTGAAGGGTCATATGAATGTGGAATGGTGAACTCTTGTTCCTGTTCCTTGCTCTTTTTGCCTTGATTACCTGGAACCTTGGGCAAATCTTTGTGAACCACTAATGTGATATTTCTTGTCTTGAGATGATGCCAGAATGAGATCTGAGAAATACTTGGAGCTTTTTGAAATGAATACCTTGTAATTTACAGTTAAGGGGAGAGTGGGAAGGTAGGGACAGATAATGGGTAAGATGGATTGGTGTTGAGGTTGATTTGCCAAATGGAAAAATTTCAGGTACATTAGAGTTCATATTTTTAAGTATCTTTTAACTAGAAACTCATCTTCAGTAGACTTTGTCTTTAAATATTTGTTTTCCCCTAGTAATGAGGGTGATGTCATCAAAGTTTTTATAAGAGTCCCTCTCCCTACAGAGGGACCCATACTAAACAATGGAGAACATTCTGGCACGTGCTTATCAGTGTTCACCTCCAATACCCTCTGTCTGCATTCTAAGAGCGAGCCTAAGATCTTCACATTTGATCATGTGGCAGATATGGACACCACTCAGGTAAGTACAACTTTTGTATCTGAAAAAGGAGAGCCTTTATATGTGCATGAAGATCCAGTAGTTTGGTTCCATATTTTGTAGAATTTTTTGAGGTATAGGTTTTAGTAATTACCTTTTGCTCATTGTTACCATAAGTAATATGAAATAGAAAAGGTTTGTTTTTTTTTAAATTTACAAGTAATGCAGAGGACTAATTTTGATAAATAGTTTGATTCTCTTCTTTGCTTGAAACTGCCTAGTCTGCTTTACTTTTCTACCTGATGATTGTCATAATTACTTGCCAAAAGTCAGTAATGGGAAAGAAGAACAAAAAAGGGCTTAATGGCAAATATGCTGCTTGGGGGAAAATCTAGTCTGGCTTAATGAAAAAACTGATTTATAGGCTGTTTTAAAATAAATGCTGTCTTATTACTTACTTTATTGCATATGGTGAATTAAAATACAAATAAGTGTTAACTGAATTGGAGTAATAATAACTGATATTTTGTGTTTAAAATTTGCAAAGTATTTAACTCTTTGAGGCTTACAACAACCCTATGAGGTGGCTACTACAGGTGTTATCCTGATTTTATAGATCACAGGGAGGTTAAATGATTTGTCAGTGGTCACACAGCTGTTTTGTCGGAGACAGAGTTTGAACCCAGGTCTTGACACAAGCATTCTATCTACCACATCACTATGTAAGTTAATGAGAAAATTATAATTCATAATTGACTTACATAAACATGTACTATATGAGAATTAATTATATTAATATAACACATGATAATTTTTAAACCCACACATTGAGGGAATCCTTAATATTTTGAGCCCTTGATCTGTGAATATTTTAAACAATAATTTTCCAGCTCATGAGTAGGTCTGAAAAATAAAAAAAGTTTTCCGGTTATTGGTTCAGAATCTTATACCTATAATCTTGCAAATTCCAAATTTGAAAGGGATCAGAATTAACATTTTATAGTAATTTATAAAATAGGCCCTGAATAATTGCATTGTCTATAAATGACAATAGACAACATTTGGCTATTGTGACTGTTAAAGGGTCCCCTGAACTTGTCTTTTTGAGTTGCCATATTTTCTAGAAACACTGGACTCAGAGCTTGGAGGAGGCCCTGAATGTGTCAAGGATGAAGCCCCCTTCCCCACCCCGCGGCTGATATAATTTGTTGTTGCGTCCCTAGCTGGACGCCTGTGTGTCCTTGGGAGGCAAGACAGGCACCAGCCAGTCAGTGCCAGGCTGGGATAATGCTTGTGCAGCTGGGATCCTTTGCAGATAAGCATACCCTCCTATCTTCATTGTCTAGCAGTTGTGGGGGAAAAGAATGCAGCTTCTGCCATCACCTTTCTCCCCATGGGGAGTGGTCTTGTCTATTTTTTTTCCCACCTTTACTGTATATTGTTTCCCCTCCCACGTCATGCCCCTTCCTGATATGCCCTCCTCCCTTTTTCCTGCTTTTATAAAAATGTAAACTTCTGTAAGGACCATGAACTCTTTGCTCTGGCTTTGACGTACATATCCATGTTTGTTCATCCTGTAACAAATCTAATTCACATAAGTTTCATGAAAGTATAATTTCCTTTTGATGTGACTTCTGAGTAATATCTCTTTATGAGTTGAATTTTATGTGACTAGGTAGCTTAATATAAATTGTTATAGGGATGTAAAACCAAAATAACGTGTTTAAGAATCATAGAACATGGGGCAGCTAGGTGGCACAGTGGATAGAGCTCTGGCCTTGGAGTCAGGAGGACCTGAGTTCAAATACAGCCTCAGACACTTGAATTGCTAGCTGTTTGACCCTAGGCAAGTAACTTAACCCCAGTTGCCTCTCCAAAAAGCAAAAAAAAAAAAAAAATCACAGAACCTGAGCTGGAAGGGATCTCATGGTCACCAAATTAAATTCTTTGGACTTCTAGTAACTTTAAATGTTGCTGTTCAAACCACTGCATAAGACAGTTACGTGGATGGGCGTGAGTCTCTTATAAAGGCTATTAGTAATAAAACAGGGGTTTTTAACCTGAAGCCTATGAACTTTTTTTTAATAGTCCTCAATATAAGTTTATTTATTTTTAGTTTTCAACATTTGCTTCCACAAGATTTTGAGATCCAAATTTTCACCCCATCTTGCCCCTCCCCACACCCCAAGATGGCATGCATTCGCAATACACCTTCTCCTAGTCTGCCCTCTCTTCTATCTCTCCCCACCTTCTCTTATCCCCTTCCCCTTCTATTTTCCTGTAGGGTAGGATAGATTTCTGTATCCTATTTCCTGTATTTCTTATTTTCCAGTTGCATGTGAAAACATTTTTTTAAAACATGCATTTTTAAAACTTTAGGTTCCAAATTTTCTCCTTCCCTCCCTCCCCACCCACCCTCATTTGAAGAGGCAAGCAGCTCAATATAGGTTATACGTGTGCAGTTATGCAAAACACTTCCATAGCAGACATGTGAAAAACTAACTCTATTTCCCTTAATCCTATCCTGTCCCCCCATTTATTCTATTCTTTCTTTTGACCCTGTCCCTCCTCAGAAGTATTTACATCTGATTACCCCTTTCTCAATGTGCCCTCCTCTCTGTCATCCCCTTGTTCTCTTTTCTCCTTCTCCCCCTATTTTCCTGTAGGGTAAGACAGATTTCCACATCCAATTGAGTGTGTATGTTATTCCCTTCTTAAGCCAAATCCTATGGGAATAAGATTCCCTCATTTCCTCTCACCTTCCCCCGTTTCCCCTCCACTGTAAGAGACTTTTCTGTTTTTTTTGTGAGATAATTTACCCCATTCTAACTCTCCCTTTCTACTTCTCCCACTATAATCCTCTCTCACCCCTTAATTTTATTCTCCAAATATGACCCTTTCATCTTCAACTCACCCTGTGCCCTCTATCTATCTATGTATGTACATACACATACATATAATTTTTCCCTCCAACTACCCTAATACTGACAAAGGTCTCATGAGTTATAAATATCATCTTTCCATGCAGGAATATACACAGTTCAACCTTAATAAGTCTCTTACGATTTCTCTTTCCTGTTTACCTCTTCATGTTCCACTGGAGTCTTGTATTTGAAAGTCAAATTTTCTATTCAGTTCTGGTGTTTTCATCAAGAATGCTTGAAAGTCCTCTGTTTCACTGAATGACCATTTTTCCCCTGAAGGATTATACTCAGTTTTGCTGGGTAGGTGATTCTTGGCTATAATCCTATCTCCTTTGCCCTCCAGAATATTATATTCCATGCCCTGTGGTCCTTTAATGTAGAAGCTGCTAAATCTTGTGTTATCCTGATTGTGTTTCCACAATACTTGAATTGTTTCTTTCTGGCAGCTTGTAACATTTTCTCCTTGACCTGGGAACTCTGGAATTTGGCTACAATATTCCTAGTAGTTTTCCTTTGGGGATCTCTTTCAGGAGGAGATTGGTGGATTCTTTCCATTTCTATTTTGCTCTCTGGTTCTAAAATATCAGTGCAGTTTTCCTTGATAATTTCTTGAAAGATGATGTCTGTGCTCTTTTTTTGATTATGGCTCTCAGGTAGTCCAATAATTTTTAAATTCTCTCTCCTGGATCTATTTTCCAGGTCAGTTGTTTTTCCAGTGAGGTATTTCACATTATGTTCTCTTTTTTCATTCTTTTGGATTTGTTTTACAGTATCTTGATTTCTCATTGTTGAGGGCCAGAACTGGAAAGTCTAAATATGGGATAAGGAATTTAGGTCAGCGCTTGCCTCTTCCCTTTTTCTACCCATAAAGGCTTAATTATTCAGACTATTTGGCTCACCAGCCTCCTGTGCCTAAAGGTTAAAATACTCTGACCTTTAGACCTCTATTGTAAGCAGGTATAAACCATTAAGGATGTGCATAAGGGCTGGGGTTAGTCACATGGTGAGGACTCCTGGGATGGTTGTTAGCTTTCACTATATAATCCAGACCCTCAGATAATAAATTGGCTCAGTGTTTCACTGACCTTCCTGGCCCACATCTTTATTTCACACTCTTCCCTTTGATGCAATACTGAGTCGAGGGAGACATCTCATGAAGTCACTAGCTTCTAATTGCTCTATTCTAGTTTTTAAGGAAGTATTTTCTTCAGTAATCTTTTGGACTTCCTTTTCCATTGGCCAGTTTTGTTTTTTAGGGCATTCTTCTCCTCATTGGCTTTTTGGACCTCTTTTGCCGTTCAGGTTAGGCTATTTTTTGAGGTGTTATTTTCTTCAGTATTTTTTTGGGTCTCCTTTAGCAAGCTGTTGACTTGTTTTTCATGATTTTCTTTTTTTTTAAATTTTTTAATTTTTAAAAATTTTTTTATTCTTTAATTTTTATTTTTTTAATTTTTTTTCCATATGCTTTTGAGTTGAAAATTTTTCTCCCTTTTTCTCCCCCCCCCTCCCCAAGATGGCTCACAATCTGATATAGGCTTTACATTTACATACCCATTAAACATATTTTCACATTAGTGAAGTTGTAAGTAAAAATTAAAACCAATAGGAGGAACCATCAGAAAGTTGAAACAAAACTGAACAGAAGGTAAAAATAAGTGAGAGCGATTCGACTTCCATAGTTCTTTCTTTGGATGTGGACAGCTAAGATGGCACATTTGATGAAATGGTCTGTTGCTCACTTTAGATTTAAGGTTTTGTTTTTGTTTGTGTTTTTGAATTAGCATACTGACTTTAAGGAGAGTGCCCATCGACTTAGTTTTCCCAGGAAAGCACAAGAACCTTTAGTTCATTCCGTAGCTAAGCTTTCTTCTTACTGTAACTTCACCCTTTCCATTCTGCAAGGACTTGTTTTTTACAAGAGAAATCTTGAGGCACAAAAATATGAGAAAGAAGAAGCTAGATATAAAAGATCCACCTTGCTAGGTTGTATTCTGTGTGCCTCTTCTGTACTGATTTTTTGAGATGTACTTAAGAAACTATGAGATTGTGGCTCTAAGGGTCACTATTCTGTCAGATTCCCTCTTTCTTTTTTTTTTAATGGGAGATACAGGTT